TGTTTTTTTCATGGCCTATGTTAAGGATTTTATTGTGGCAATTTATTTAAACTTTGCAGACTTTTGCTCTGCTTTTCAGCATTCACCTGGTAATACATGATCAGAATGAACAATGAGGGCATACCTTATTTATGTAATGATCAAGTGTAGGGTAAGGCTCAGCTGTGCGATATGGCAGCTTCAACTAATGGGAAAATCTCCCTTTCCTCTCTACATGATGTCCTAGCATATCTTTTCCCTTCCTGTAGTGAAAAACAACTTTTACTACTCCCCGTAAAGACTTCAACAGGCTTCTAAAAGTCTTGCCTAATGATATAGGCACATCCTCCAGCACTACATCTCCCAAGAGGCCTTCCTCTACACAGTAGATGGGCAGACTCTTGGGATTCATTTTATGTGGGCAGACTCTTGGGAATCATTGGTTGTGGGCAGAATTCTGGGTTTCATTGTGTGTGGGCAGACTCTTTTGAATCATTGTATGTCGGCAGACTCTTGGGAATTGTTTTGTGTGGACAGGCTCCTGGGGTTCATTGTGTGGGGAGGCTCTTGGGAGTCATTGTGTGTGGGCAGGCTTTTGAGAGTCATTGTGTGTGGGCAGACTCCTGAAAGTCATTGTGTGTGGACAGACTCCTGAAAGTCATTGTGTGTGGACAGACTCCTGAAAGTCATTGTGTGTGGGCAGACTCCTGGGAGTCACTGTGTGTGGGATTACTCTTGGGATTCATTGTGTGTGGGCAGGCTTTTGGGAGCCATTGTGCATGGGAAGGCTCTTGGAAGTTACATAGTTAGTCTGGCTGAAAAAAAACAAAAGTCCATTCAGTTAAACCATAGGAAAAAAAAGTTATAATCCTACACCCACAGTTGATCCAGAGGAAGGCAAAAAAAACCAGCAAAGTATGATCCAATTTGCTCCTGCAGGGGAAAAAAATCCTTCCTGATCCCTGAGAGGCAATTGGATATTTCCTGGATCAACTTTACCTATATATGTTAGTATCCAGTTATATTCTGTGTATCCAAGAAAGAATCCAGGCCTTTTTTAAAGCAATCCACTAACCTGGCCAGAACCAACTCTTGAGGGAGTCTATTCCACATTTTCACAGCTCTTACTGTAAAGAAACCTTTCCATATTTGAAGATTACATTTTTTTTCCTCCAGACGTAAGGAGTGCCCCCTTTTCCTCTGTGATGACCTCAGAGTGAATAACTCTACACCGAGTTCACTATATGAACCACTGATGTATTTATACATGGAGATCATATCCCCCCTTATGTATTATACATGTTGTTGATCATATCCCCCCTTAATCTCCTCTTCTCAAGAGAGAATAAATTCAGTTTCTCTAATCTTTCCTCATAGCTGAGCTCCTCCATTCCTCTTATCAGTTTAGTTGCCCTTCTCTGCATTTTCTCCAGTTCCCAAATGTTCTTTTTGTGAATTGGTGCCCAAAATTGAACTGCATATTTCCGGATGAGGTCTTACTAATGATTTGTACCGGGGAAAAATGATGTCGCTCTCTCTTGAGATTCATTTTGTGTGGACAGGCTCTTGGAAGTCATTGTGGGGTTTATTTACTAAAGCTGGTTCCCTCAGAATCTTGTGCAGCTGTGTATGGCAGCCAGTCAGTTTCTAAGCTCTGCTTGTGTAGTTAAACTTTAGCAATAAAACCTGTAAGCTGATTGGTATCTATGCAGATGTGCACCAGATTCGGAGTGAACCAGCTTTAGTAAATAAACCCCTGTGTGTGGGCAGACTCTTGGGCATCGTTACGTGTGGGAAGACTCTTTGGAATTAATTGTGTGTGGGCAGGCTCTCAGGAGTCATGACTCTGTGCTGACATCACCCATGCCTTTTGGAGCCGGCAACAGCGGCGTTTGATACTACATGCGATTTTAACATTGGAACGTTGTAAGTCAGTGGTTCTTAACCTTTTTGGAGGTACTGAACCCCACCAGTTTCAATATGCGCATTCACCGAACCCTTCTTAATTGGAAAAATAAAATATGATTTTTAAAATTCAAAACATAGGTATATATTTATGCATAGGTGCACAAAATGAACAAAACCATTAAGAACAAAGAACAAAACCATTAAAACATGATTTTCACACAAAAACAAAATAATGAATATTTACCGCAAATCAGTGTGACTTCTGCTGTTGTCTTTCAGAGGCCAGTTCAGAAATGCGCGGCATTACCTTGGCAAGTGCCACTCTCATGTCATTTTCGCAACAAAGTCTGTTCCTTTTCTTCGTCTTTATGTCCAGCATCCTCGAAAAGGAATTGCTCGCAAAGATATGTTGTAACAAACGGTATGAAAATTCATCCCCATAGTAATTCATCCCCCATATAGTAATTCATCTCCCATATAGTAATTCATCCCCCATAGTAATTCATCCCCCATATAGTAATTCATCCCCCATATAGTAATTCATCCCCCATATAGTAATTCATCATAGTAATTCATCCCCCATATAGTAATTCATCCCCCATATAGTAATTCATCCCCATAGTAATTCATTCCCCATATTAATTCATCCCCCATATTAAGTCCCCAAGTCCCCCCTGTGTCAATTCACTTACCTTTGCTCCGCGCGTTCCTCTCGCTGTATTCCCGCGCCGTTCCGGTCTTCAGGGCGGACTGTAAGAGGAACCTAGCTCCTCTCACGTTCGTCACGCTGCCCCGCCTACACACATCCTGACAGCCAATCACTGGCTATCAGGATGTGAGTGGCAGCGAGACTGGCCAATCATTGCATTTGAGTCCCTGCCGCCCGAGAGGACGTTTCATATGCGCATTCACCGAACCCTTCTTAATTGGAAAAATAAAATATGATTTTTAAAATTCAAAACATAGGTATATATTTATACATAGGTGCACAAAATGAACAAAACCATTAAGAACAAAGAACAAAACCATTAAAACATGATTTTCACACAAAAACAAAATAATGAATATTTACCGCAAATCAGTGTGACTTCTGCTGTTGTCTTTCAGAGGCCAGTTCAGAAATGCGCGGCATTACCTTGGCAAGTGCCACTCTCATGTCATTTTCGCAACAAAGTCTGTTCCTTTTCTTCGTCTTTATGTCCAGCATCCTCGAAAAGGATTGCTCGCAAAGATATGTTGTAACAAACGGTATGAAAATTCATCCCCCATAGTAATTCATCCCCCATATAGTAATTCATCCCCCATATAGTAATTCATCCCCCATAGTAATTCATCCCCCATATAGTAATTCATCCCCCATATAGTAATTCATCCCCCATATTAGTAATTCATCCCTCATAGTAATTCATCCCCCATATAGTAATTCATCCCCCATATAGTAATTTCATCCCCCATAGTAATTTCATCCCCCCATATAGTAATTCATCCCCCATATTGGTATTGTAATTCATCCCCCCTATAGTAATTCCTTCCCCCCATATAGTAATTCATCCCCCATAGTAATTCATCCCCCCATATAGTAATTCATCCCCCATAGTAATACATCCCCCATATAGTAATTCATCCCCCATATAGTAATTCATCCCCCATATAGTAATACATCCCCATATAGTAATTCATCCCCCATATAGTAATTCATCCCCCATAGTAATTCATCCCCCATATAGTAATTCATCCCCATAGTAATACATCCCCCAATATAGTAATTCATCCCCCCATATAGTAATTCATCCCCCATAGTAATACATCCCCCATATAGTAATTCATCCCCCATATAGTAATTCATCCCCCATATAGTAATACATCCCCATATAGTAATTCATCCCCCCCATATAATAATTCATCCCCCATATAGTAATTCATCCCCCCTATAGTAATTCATTCCCCATATTAATTCATCCCCCATATTAAGTCCCCAAGTCCCCCTGTGTCAATTCACTTACCTTTGCTCCGCGCGTTCCTCTCGCTGTATTTCCCGCGCCGTTCCGGTCTTCAGGGCGGGACTGTGAGAGGAACCTAGCTCCTCTCACGTTCGTCACGCTGCCCCGCCTACACACATCCTGACAGCCAATCACTGGCTATCAGGTTGTGAGTGGCAGCGAGACTGGCCAATCATTGCATTTGAGTCCCTGCCGCCCGAGAGGAGGGAGGGGAGCGGGTGCCCGGCACACAAGAGCCGCGGCTTGCCGACCACTGGGCTAAGCGATGTTGCGTGACCACCTGCAGCCAATGATGGACAAGCGGGGCATGTCATCACAAATCATATGAGTCGGGTGTGGGTCACCTCCGCGAAACCCCCGAGACTGACTCACCGAACCCCTGGGGTTCGATCGAACCCAGGTTAAGAACCACTGTTGTAAGTAGAATTTTGACTTTTAATAAATTTCATCTGCAGTACTTTACTATTGGTATCCGCTTTTTCTCCACACCTAAGCCCTTGAAAGGGTAAGAGAAGGAGGAAAAGATCATGACACCGGGTATTCCATGGTGGATGATACCGATCGTTAAATACACAGCTTTGTGCCTTATTTACACCTCCTATAACTTAGGATCTCTTTATCTGGTAAGAGACTGTTTTTCTGTGGTTGTGGATTTCACAAATTCACTGGCTGATTTATTGATGGACACTTTATTTCATGGAGAAAAGTTTACGTGAATTCATGGACTTATATTTTGTTAAAAATAATTCACAATTATTGTTTGAAGGGTAATTGTTATATTTATGTACCCAACGAACCCCCAGCGGGACTTTAATGCAGCAATAGGATCATACATATATTGAAAAAGACATTTGGTTAAAAAAGATTTTTATCAACTTTGCACTGAATAGGGATTTTTTTATTTGTATGTGCTTGCAGCATTATTAGATGGATAAAACACTGGGAAATGTAAGGTACTTATATAGCACCATCAATTTACGCAGCGCTTCACATGTGTGTATATATACATCTACACTATATTGCCAAGAGTATTAGGACACCCCTCCAAATCACTGGATTCATGCGTTTCAATCACTTTCATGGCCACAGGTGTATGAAATTAAGCACCTAGGCATGCAGACTGCTTCTACAAACATATGTGAAAGAATGGGTCGCTCTCATGAGCTCAGGGAATTTAAGCGTGGTACCGTGATAGGTTGCCACCTGTGCAATAAGTCCATCCGTGACATTTCCTTGCTACTAAATATTCCACGGTCAACTGTTAGTGGTATTATAACAAAGTGGAAGCAACTGGGAACAACAGCAGCTTAGCTACAAAGTGGTAGGCCACGTAAAATGAAAGAGTGGGGTCAGCGCATGCTGGAGCGCACAGTGCACAGAATTCATCAACTGTCTGCAGAGTCAATAGCTAAAGTGTACTTCATGTAACTTTCAGATTAGCACAACAACAGTGCATAGAGAGTTTCATGGAATGGGTTTCCATGGCCGAGCAGCTGCATCCAAGCCTTACATCACCAAGAGCAGTGCAAAGTGTAAGATGCATCGGTGTAAAGCATGCCGCCACTGGACTCTAGAGCAGTGGAGACGTGTTCTCTGGAGTGACTAATCATGCTTCCCTGTCTAACAATCTGATAAATGTGTCTCGGTTTGGCGGTTGCCAGGAGAACGGTACTTACCTGACTGCATTGTGCCAAGTGTAAAGTTTGGTGGAGGGGGGGTTATGGTGTGGGGGTGTTTTTCAGGGGTTGGGCTTGTCCCCTTAGTTCCAGTGAAGGGAATTCTTAAGGCGTCAGCGTACCAAGACATTGTGTACAATTTCATGCTCCCAACTTTGTGGGAACAGTTTGGAGATGGCCCCTTCCTGTTCCAACATGACTGCGCACCAGTGCACAAAGCAAGGTCCATAAAGTCATGCATGAGCGAGTTTGGGGTGGAGGAACTTGACTGATCTGCACAGAGTCCTGACCTCAACCTGATGGAACACTTGTGGGATGAATTAGAATGGAGACTGGGAGCCAGGCCTTCTCATCCGACATCAGTGCCTGACCTCACAAATGCTCTTCTGGAAGAATGGTCAAACATTCCCATAGACACCCTCCTAAACCTTGTGGACAGCCTTCCCAGAAGAGTTGAAGCTGTTATAGCTGCAAAGGGCGGGCCAACTCAATATTGATTCCTACGGAGTAAAACTGGGATGCCATTAGAGTTCATGTGCATGTAAAGGCAGACGCCTCAATACTTTTTACAATATAGTGCATATGGTACATTCACATCAGTCTCTAACCCTCAAGGGGTATACAATCTAAGGTCCCCAACTCACATTCATACATACACATACTAGGGCCAATTTAAACAGGAACCAATTAACCTACCAGCATGTCTTTGGAGTGTGAGAGGAAACCCACACAGGCACAGGAAGAACATGCAAACTTCAGGCAGGAGGTGCCGTTTTTGGGATTCAAATCAACAACCCTAGTACTACAAAGCAGAAGTGCTAACCATTTAACCAAATAGTAAATAGGAATTTGTCTTTTACATGATTGAATGAACTAAATATTACGCTTATTTAGCAAATGTGCCCGTATGTATCAGTCTTGCTATTTTATAATAGTTAACGTTTAACTTAATTTTTGCTAAAAAAAAACAGGTCCAGGATAGTTGAAAGAAGCTTCTGAAACCTTCAGGAGCAATTTTAGACCCATTGCACTTTTACAAAACTCCCAAAAAACAGCTTTTACCTTCCTTACTGACCCCAATGCATTTTACCAAAATGACAAACTTTCTAGAAAGACAGATTTTTGCAGAAAATTTTGGGAATTACAACTCTCAATTTCACTTATCCTTAGTGGTCTTAGGCACAGGAATCTCAATGGTGACACAAGAATAAAAATAAAAGGAGAGGATCTAACCCTTCACCACCAATAAAAAAAGGTTTAGCTGCTGAGTTCCACCAAAATGGGAATTTTTCATGTTTGAGTGGAGTGTTTCTTCACCAAACTCTAACAAACAATGATCTATTCTGTATTCCTATACTGAATCCAGGCTCATTGCTCACTGCTCATTTTTAGATACTGAACGTACTTTTAATGACTTTAGTGCCTGCAAATTAAGCTTACATTTATTGCTAAAATTATAATTAATAGGATTTTGATGACTCCAACAAAATAATAATTATAGTATATGATTAATACTTCATTTATTAGTTGGTTTCACATAAAAAGCTTTGCAAGTGGAAGATTGTAAAGCCCACAATTATAGCTGGTGATTAATATTGTAGGCCTTAACAAATATTAAGCCTTAATTGGTTAAAGGGGGCTTCTTACCTTAAAATAGAACTTCAAACAAAACATAGAATTAAATAGTAACAATGTAAAGGGAAATTACTGGATCACCAGTTATTATAATATACAGTATGGGGTTGATTTACTAAAACTGGAGAGTGCATATTCTGGTGCAGCTGTGCATGGAAACCAATCAGCTTCTAACTTCAGGTTGTTCAATTAAGCTTTGACGAAAAAAAAACCTGAAAGCTGGTTTCTGTTCAGAGCTACACCAGATTTTGCACTCTTCAGTTTTATTAAATCAACCCCTATGCATCTACTATGTTGATAAATTCATGTTCAAAGCTGAACATAACATGTGCATTCACATGCAGTTGTGTATTTCTTTAAAGTTAATTAAATGTAACTTTACATACAGCTATCATAGGTATTTCAAACTGGCTTCATACTGTCCTGTGTCAACCCCTGCACAGCAGCACTAGAGGCCAATTAGTTTTTGCTGTACACACTTTTGCTGGCAAGGAACAAACTGACTGGAGGAGAGGACAGAATGGGCATAGCCAATGGCTTATCGGATTTTTTTTTACATCCACCATTGACCGGAAGTGACGTCATGAAGTAGCTGCGGTCCTCCAAGGCCATAGAGCCTATCAGAGACATTCCCTCCCACCACTTCTGAAAGCGATTCAGTGGTAATGAGCCACTCGGACTGCTTTCATTAACCACTTCAATACCAGGCACTTGTACCCCCTTCCTGCCCAGGCCAATTTTCAGCTTTCAGCTGTTGCACACAAATAGAGCTTTCTTTTGGTAGTATTAAATCACCACTGATTTTTTTTATTTTTTGCTAAGGTGACAGTATGTACAAAAAAAAAGCATAAATAATAAAATAAAAATGGAAAAAAAAAAAAAGTTTAAAAATTATAATTTTTAATTATATACTAATTTGGGTTATTTTTTTTTTTTTTTACTAAAAAGATAATTTTGGCCAAGATTTATGATGAAATATTATTTATTTGCAAAATTTTATAAGAAAAACACTTTTTTTCAAAATTTGTGGACATTTTCATTTACATAGCAAAAAAAATAAAAATCCCAGTAGTGAGTAAATACCATCAAAATAAAGCTTTATCTGTCTCAAAAAAATGCTAAAAAATTAATATGGGTACAGTGTTGCATGACCACGCAATTGTCATTCAAAGGTCCCGTACAACAATCGGTGTTCCACTGTGTCTAGAGGAAACAGCAGGTGCAGGATCGGGGTGATGCGCGCTCCCAGGGAGCGCTCACAAGTAGGGAGCGGGGAAGCCATTTATAAATGGCCACCCACCCCCGCACTGCTCCCGTCTGGCCGTTTATACACATGGGCCGGACAAGAAGTGGTTAAATGTGTATTTTGGCTCCTTTTTATTGCGCATTTTAGCATTACTTACGTTCATTTTGACGCTTTTTGACATGCTGTATTTTTTTAACACGCAATTTGATGTGGGTTTTTTTAATGTGCATTTTGGCGCTTTTCTAAACACACATTTATGCGCTTTAACACACATTTTGGCACAGGTTATTTAAACATACATTTTGGTGTGGTTTGGCACACACATTTTGGCACTTTTTTTAGCACGTATTTTGGCGCTTATTTAAAGTGCATTTTGATTTGGTTTTTATGCATATTATTTTGGCAAACTGCACATCTGCTAGCCACTTTTGGGTGCCATTAACAAATAAGGCACAGCAAACATGACATGCATTTTGTATGCGTTTCCAGAACACACACAAAAACAGAGGTAAAAAGTGAGCCAAAATACATGTTAAAAAACCAAAATGCACAAAAAAATTTCAACTCAACTCAATAAAAAAAACGACAATACACTATATCTATACTGTATGTATAATCAAACACAACAAACACTTTACTCCTGCGCTAGGAAAGGACTCAGTAGACCCAATAGGAATTTTCTGGAATATGCACTGCTTGCTGCACTCAACAGACCGGGGTGGTCCAAATACACTGGATACAAATGGAGAAACAGAAAAAGGGCGCACCGACCTAGTGCATTATCGTTTAAAATAATTTATTGAAGAAACAAAATAGGTATCATACTCACAATGGACATAATAACACAGGCATGTCAAACTGAACAAGATGTATGATCCAAACAACATCTGAGTCCATACGATGGAACCCTGGATGACCAACTTTCTAACGCGTTTCGAGGACACAACCTCTTCCTCAGAGCAATACTGTACACTATATATAAAACACAAATATACATATATACATACATAAACATACAGTATATAGTTATAATTTATATCAATGTTTAACCCCGCTGGTGCTCATATTAGGAAGAAAGAATCCTTCTTCCTCCTATCACAGCAGCTTCTCACCAAGATTCTCCAGCTCTGGACTGGAGAAACTGTGATGGAGATATTTTTAAGAGATGGCCAGTGAGATCTTCAGATCTCACCTTTATAAACCAGCCACCTCTGTAAAGTGAATGACAGAAGGGTTTGTCCTGTGATGAGAAGTGAAGAAAATTATCTCTGCTCCTCACCTCAACTTCATAAACTGGCACACCTGAGAGATCAGATGTGATCTTCAGGATCTCGGCTTTTTTCTCTTTCTTAAATGGACACCTCAGTGAGAAGATGCGAGGGCTGGGGAGGGTCCCCTTGAGAACTTTGGCCATTAGAGAGGAGGTAAATACCGTATAGTGCCTTTAGTTCTTTGACCCTTATGTGCCCTATAAATACATGAAAACTTATAGAAACACACATTGAACAAAAAGAATCTCCACTTACTTATTGCTTTGTCACTAGTTAAGTGATGGGAAATCTCCCCAATGGGACACAAACAAAAAATAGAAAAAGAATAAATGTGACAGGGGCTCTAAACATAAAGTTTTTCCTTTAACATAGTTTAAAATATGTATTTAACAATGTATTTAACCAATAAAGAAGATTTAAACTCAACCCCAGTGATTTATTTTTAAAGCATCTCATCAGATGACAATCTGGGCAAATGGCACCCATAAAATATGAATTTTATCCTTCATACCTGAGGATGACACAGGCAGAAATAATACATGCTATGGTCGGTGTATCTGAAAAATAGAACACCAGGTTAGATCAACGGTTTATAATCATTATTTATGACCTGTCTGCTACAAAGTGGTTAGTCTGCCTCAGTCCCACAAATCCTCTG